TCTCAAATCAATTAAAGAATTCTAATCTACGTATTTGGATTCTTCCCCTTGTCACTGCCTGCCCCAAGTTGTAAGAAGGGGCATACAGGGCACTATGGAACAAAGTTGTAGGAGATCTATCACTATAGGACAGGAAGTCTATGCCAAATTGTAGGTAAAATTTCACATTACACCCTTCTTGTTTTCTACATTAAAATGAAGATAACTGTTTCTGTCAGACTGCCATGAAATTAAAGCACTTGGTAGAACTGACAGAACAGAAAGCACACTTGTCAAGTAGACTAGGTAAGCATATTAAGAAGGATGACTTCCAACTACATATCCTAATCCTCAGACTTTACCAACAGAGCACTGCAGGGTTGTTTATTAAAAGGAGTTGAATGAAGGGAACTAGTTTAAAGAGCATTTTTTCTTGTAAGGCCATTTTTTAGGTCATGGTCTAAGAAGTCACACTGTAACCAGTGCACAGGAGGTAATAAGCATAAGAAAGCCTACAGAAAAAGAAACAGTGTAAAAATTCAAAGTGATTTGATTGCAACATGTTTACAAAAACAAAACCTCCTTAGGTTTAATCTAAATAGCCTTGTTCCAGATACAATTTATTTTTATCTAGAACAGGTATCAATAAAAATATTTCAGATTCTAAGCAATATTTCCATTCATATTGTAAGCTATGCTGTATCATTTTTATTTCAAATCTTTAATTAAGTAAATTGTATGCACATTTCCCACCCTGATATTGCTGCCACTGATACAATTTTTGCATCATTCATTTTCTTGCTTGTCAAAATACTTTCAAAAGCCTTATGCTACAAAAACCTTTAGATAAAAAAAAAATGTAAGTTTCACTCTCCAAAATACTCAAAGGAATAGAAGATGCATAGCATTTTATTTTTAAGGCCAAAGAAGGTCTCATCATACCAAACCACTAGAGAAGAAACTGCTTTAGTGCATCAGAAAAAACCCTTAAGCATAGATAAAGTAGATAAACTACTGTGTAAATGAACTAACGAGGAACCTTCACAGATAGATTTGATACTAGTGAAACAGAGGTAAATGTCAACCCAAATGGTAACACTATCAGTCAATGCTCACAATTGAAAAAAATGTTCTAGTTACAGCAAATCACTTTCTAGCTTCTATGCATATATAAAAAAAAAATTTGCAGGGAGAGAGACTTAGTCTCTGGAGTCCTAATTAAGAGCTGTTTTACTATAGAAAAGTCATGAAAAATAGTGCTAGAAGTTCATGTAGGAACTAATCTCCATTTAAATCAATAGACTTGAGTTTAAGCCAATTTAAAATGAAAAAGGAAGCAAGAAAATGATTGTTTGCAAGCTGAAAAGCAAGGCTCTACAATGGCATAAAACAGTAGGTATTTGTGCTACAAAGGATCCCAAGGACATAAAATGCTATTTAAGGGCCCCGGGGCTGGATCTCATGTCTATGCTAGGCAAGAAAGCAGCTACCCTTGCTTGTCTAAATCTAGATAGACAAGCATGTATCTTGCAAGGTAAGGAGAGAATATGGAAACAAGTTCACTGAAGAACTGGCACAGCTCCTTCCCATGTCCCACAGGGTTTCCCTAAGTGCAGGGCACAGGCAATGAGCTAGAGAAAATAAAAATAAATATTTAAGGGAAAGGAGCAATTACAGTTGTCCACATCTTTTCAGCAGGGACAGGACGGCAAATGAAGCAAAAGAAAAATGAAAGGATGTACAGACAGAACATTTTTGTAGTGGTAAGTTCAACTATTGTTTTCAGGAAATATGTGAGAGTCTTTACATTGAAGTTAAACATTGTCCAGTGGGTAACAACAGTGGTTGCTTTATTTTCAAGGTGAGATCAGAATGTTCCTGTAGTATTCTAGAAGTCTTATAACAACTTCTATTAGTCCTTACTTAGCAACTGAGAAAGTAGACTCAAATCTTAAGCCTTTTTGTTATTTTGTAGGGGGTTAATTTGACAATAAAGAGTTTTAGTCATATACAGGGTTTTTATTTTGGATTTGTTTTCAAATTTTCATGTTAGAGAGGGCAAAGATCTGTGTCTCCCAATATTTTTTCCACATACTTTTCTGGTTTTAATTAACTTAATATTAGATGCATATTGTGTTTTAATATCACTACAGTTACAAAAAAAAAAATACTCGAGTTCAAATGGAGGGGTTTTTCCCTATTATTCCCCAAAATAAAATTACTTCCACTATTTAATATAGTCAGACATTGTGAATGCTTGGAGCTTTCTCTTTAAGTGTCATTTAAGTCCAGACAATCAAATATGTATTATGTATGTCAATATTTTAATGGAAGCTTAGCTGTGGCAGAGGAAACCCTTAAAGAAGCATCACCTGTGCCCCTACTAAAGTGTTGTGGAGAATAACTTGCAAATTCTTGTTATTTCCTAAAGTCATTATGACATCTTCTGACCAGAACTGGCCAGTCTCAGTATTATAATCTCTGTCTCAGGCAGGAGTTTGGTTGAACAAATTACAACTACAATAGGATTGTTGCTCCCTACCTGCTTTGAAAGCAGAGGATTTAGACACAGCACAAGTTTCAAAACAACTGCTACTTTTTTTTACTGTTATACAAACTGGCCTTCCAGAGTGTTCATTCACTATAGCAGGACGTTTATCATTGTCATGACTATTTTCAGCCAGGCATATGTAGTTTTTCCCTTTCTAGGTTATGTCTTCATGCCAGATGGGCATATGAAGCCCCAGAGATTACTTGCAAAGCTGCACAGAAAACTGAAATACAGACCAGAGGAAAGAATGCTCCCAATAGTTTGTGTAAGAAGGGAACCAATTTACTGGAATGACAAAACTTTCCTATTCACATTTAAGTTTGCATACATCGTTGATTGCCTATACTGGGATATAAACAATTGAGAAGGAAAATAAAAGCCTTCAGTGAAAATTAAATATCCAGTATGAAAAATGAGAAAGATGGAAGAAAGACACAATCATTCTTTTGTGTTCAGTGGGGCACAACTTTTCTCAGCAAGAACATGCTTGCATGTATGGAGTACAAATGACGCTCCGACACTCCGATATTATTCCAGGTCTTTAAAGGGAAATTCCAGGATACATTTGAGAACACAGATTTCCACTCCTGATACAACATTTTTTAGAAGGAGTTTGTTTTTCTTTAAGGTGAGCAAAGCATTGAGAAAGCAGCATGTTGCTTTAATGTCTTTGTTTTCAGAAAAAGAAAGTACAAGACATTAATGGAAGGACCTAGGGAAACACGGAGGCACCTGGAGTGCCTTCTTCAGGTGCTGTGAAAGGAGAATTCCACTTCCCCCACAGCACAGGAGGCTTCTCTTCCTTACCCTCAGCATTTGCTTAAAACGGGAAGTTAAAGAACTCATTTGTCACTATTTGCTTAACTAGATAGTACGCTGCAACATGCATTTGAAATACACTGGATTGCAAGCATTCTGTATTTATGTTTTCTCCTTCAACATTTATTACAGTCTTTTCACCTTTTACATAGAGCAAAGTATAATGTAGTTACTGAAACATGTTCAGTACTCAAGGATACACAATATTAATTGCTCAGTTCACCTGCATTGACACACTGGATTTAACTTGCCACACTGAATTACTGATAATTTTTCTAACCTTGCCAAGTCAATCTGGGGCAGAGACATCTGCAGTTTAGCTGGCGTATTTTTTAAGCACCTGCTCTCTTAACTATTGTAGTATCACTAGTTTGAACAGAAGTACACACATCATACCTTGCGCATTTTGGTGCCTGACTACAAACTTCCTAAATATTTGTTTCATTAGCTCTTCTTCAATCTTGGGAAAAACTTCTGCATTTTATTGGAAACAATAGTTTTACTAGCATACCATATACTGATTTGATCTGTTCTGTACAGAGGTTGATTTAATTCTTTTTAAGAAAAATCGCAAGCATGGTATTTTTTGAGTGTTGTTCTAATACCAAGGAAGAAAACATCTATCGGTACAAACACGCTTAAATCAAATGCCACCATTGCCTTATTAACGTTCTCCAGTTTTTTAATCGGAAAAATATATATTTTTAAATGGAAGGGCATTATACATCCAACAATCCCCTTTAACTTGATAATACAAAACATACACATCCCTATATCACAACTGCTACACAGAACTTGTCACACCACATTACAGAACTGTGATTTTTACTATGAAGTAAGGATTATTTTGCAAAGAAATTAAGGAATGTGAATATGGTAAAGGGCACGAAGCATAAATAGCTTCAGCATTTTCTATAAAACTAAGAACAACATTCCACTTCTAAAATGACTATTAGGAACTGTAACTTGCTGATTAAATGAGATGAACTATTGAATGTTCTTGTATCAATAGTGCTTAGGAAGCAATGCAACAGTTGTATTTTACAGCTTATGAACAAAAAAAAAGTATTGCTAACTCTTACTATGTCCCTGCTTCAATAGCAGGATGTGCCTATCTATGATTTGTCCTATCCTACCTCATTAAGCCCCTGTTGATCACTACGAAGCAAAGAAATGTAATTCAACTGATTCCAGCTTACTTCCTGACAATTAATAACTAAGCACGGAGCTGTCTACAGTAAATTCACTGTTTGCCTAAAAAAGTTTAGGAGAGTAAAAGAATAGAGACAAAAGACAACCCAGCTGTGTAAGGCAAGGCTCACCACCTGACACACTCGCAGAACAATAATTAAAATACTAGTCAGAGTTGTAAAAAAGGGTAACCTGAACTAGGGCTTACCACATTTTTAAAAGTTATTCCTGTTACAGTTAAGAACTACATTGATTTTATCTTCTTGTGTTATAAAACATCTTACAGACAGAAAAACAATGCATATTACCTTTTGTACTAAATCTTTATAAAAGCATTTATGCTCCAAATTTCAGCATTGTGATAAATACTGTGGATGTAAGATGATGTCAGATCGTTTTATTTCCCTGCCAAGCATTCTGTAGATGAGAAAATGAAAGATTTGTTCCTAAGATTACTTACCCATGAAGTTGAGATAGCTCTCTCCTCCAAGTGCATGAGTAATGAGACGAATCATTTTATGAAGCTGTATTCCACGATCAATAACTGGAGTAAGAGGCGAGAGCACGCTCATATTTGTATACATCTCCGCATCCATCAGTCGAAACGCCAATGTCTTATCACCAACAAGTGCCTGTAACAGTTCAAAAACAGTGAAGAAAACCCTTGGGCGTACTAGAAATGTTTCTAACATTTTTTTAAAATCAGGTGCTCTATATCATAAGAGAAAAACTTGGAAGACTGGTGAGAAGTTAAGAACATTGCTCGGTGTACACAAGCTAGTCCCTGTTCACAAAGAAAACATCCTGCCACCGCCAGTGATCATCAGGTCACAGTGGCCCTGGCTTCTGACTACTGCAGCTTTGTATTGTGTGATGTGTAATCATGGTGGTGTGACACATGTATAATCTGCTGCCAAAAAGAGGAAGCATGTAAACTGAGGCAGGGTCATCCCTGAGCTGAGCCTCGACTGGATGCCAGACCCGACCGTCTGTCCTCCTCTTGCCACCCTCCACATGGTTACCGGGGCTCCCTGCACTGACAGGAATGTCAGCAATAAACTAATATCTGCCTAACCCCTGTTAGAGTCCCACATTTTGCCTGATGGGCTCAAACTGCACAGTTACTTCTGAGAACCTAGAGATAGCAAATGTGCTACAGTAGGCAAAACCTACAGATACCAAATGTGAACTATTAGCATCAAATCAGTAAGCCACAACTGACCTACACTTTTCAGAATTTTTACAGAAAACACAGAAAATAAGAAGGCAAACATCTCAGAGTTCCTGGGATGTACAAATAAAGGGCTATTAACACCACTAGTGATTTAGAGATGCAGAGTGAATATGAAGCACTCATTTAGGTACAGTCGAGAATGTGATTGGTTTTCTATGATTTCACACAAGAGAAAAACAAACTAGTAGTTCCGTCTAAAAATAGTGACTGAAGTACTAACTTGCTGGTGCCTACTGATACTTGAGAAAGACCATACAAATGTTATGTAACAAGTATTATCATAATATATTAGCATGCAGGCAGTTGAAAATGTTTTGGAGCATTTTTTTGTAAATAGCTAATTTTTGTTCAATTAGCCCAATTCTCATTTTATACTCTAGAATAAAAGCTCACTAGATTTCAGAGAGACAGATGAGTTGTAAACAGGTCCAGCTTCACCATCATCCTTTAGTTTTCCAATGAACAACATAACAGTATGTATAGATGATTCCCCCAAGTAAAAAAAAAAACAAACAAACAAAAAAAAATTCCTATGCAACCATGGCAAGATTGAAGACTGCAATTAACAACTGCAGAGAATGATTCTTCTCTGGAGTCAGAATGTGGCATTTGTTAGTGTCATTTAATATCCCCTAATCTTTCCATTAGAAGAGAAGGTAAATGTTCCTTATTCATGTTTTCTATGCCAGCCATGATTTTATGAAGTGTTATCCTTCCTGCTTCAATGATTGCTGTTCTACACTGAAGAGTCTTAGTCTATTTAGTTTTCTTCTTATGAAAACCAATCCACACCTGCTATTATTCTTACCAACTCTCTTGCAGCATTTTTTTGTTATGCTGCATAGCCTTTGAGATACAGGACCAAATCTGCCTCCAATATTCAAGATGCACACAAACCATGAAAAACTACAGTTGCATGCTGATTTTGCTCTTTGCTCTCCATTCCATTCATAATAATTCCAGTACTGTATCTGCTTTTTTGACAGCTATTAGCACCGAGTTGCAATTTTCACATACTTATAACCAAGAGGCCCTGTATTCTGACTGGTAATAGTCACCTCGTAACCCATTATAACATATAAGAAACTAGAATTGTTTCATTTGCATCACTTCAGGTATCTTCAGACCAAATTTTATCTATACTCCCATTTTGTTTCTCTATCCTACTTCTCACATATAATCCTGGTGTACATCTGCAACTGTCTTTTTTAATTCAAAATAAATAGATCTTCCTCCCAAGTATGAGATTGTAAAACAAAAACACACAGTGATATGGAAAACAACTCAACTGATAAAATCCAGCATGAAATAAAGTAACAGCAACAGAATTGTTATATGTCATGCTTTAGGATGAAGAATCAGCTTTTTTAAAAGCAAATAACCACAGAATAATATGCATTTCCGAGTAATACCTGAAGTTCTTTACCAGGCTTTGGATTCTTCTCTCAGGACTTAAGTGAACACTGTGTAACAGTCTCTGAGATAAGAATGTAAATAGGTACACAAAATTAAGCTGATAAACTCAGAATTCTCTTTTTAAAATAAAATATAGGCCTTGGACACTTTTGTTGACTTATTATCAAAGGTATAGGAAATAGAATATTGACCTCTATTATGTATAGGAAAGAGGTGAAGGTAGGTTAATTAAACCTTTTATTAGAAAAATGATTTTTTTTTTTTAAGTTCCTAATTTTAAAATTCCCAACCAATGTGTTTTCTGATTTTTCAAACAACCATTACAAAGATTGCAGGTGGTAACTGTTATCCAAATTCATCATTACTTCTTCATTTTTCCATATACAGAACCATTATAATTGCTGTGTTTTGAACCAAATTGTTAAAGAATATTTCATTTAAATCTCAGAAGAGGACGTCTGTAATCCTTCTGGAGAGGAAACATTTTCTGAAAGGCAATTCAACAGCCGCAAACACTGATTCAGGGAACAAATTTGTTAAACTGTGATGCTGTTTACGCTTATCATAAACAGTGTTCCAGCTTGCTTTATGGAAACCAGATTTTCAAAACCATGGACTATATGACTTCCTCTGTGCTGTGACAGGCAGGCAAAAAGCTAGGACTCATTTCTTAAAAACAAAACTGAAAAACAACAACATTCACCCACACCAAGCAGGATTCCTTTCTTAAAAAGAAGGATCAAAACAAAACAAAAACCCACAAGAAAACCCATCCAAAAAACACGAGCAGTAGTCCAGGTATATACTTATCTCTGAAATTGATGCTTATCCTTCTCAACTCTTGCCTGATTTTTAAAAAACAAAACACATCGAACATCTAAACTTCATCTTTTACTTGCTTATATATAAACAAACAAATAAAATACCTGGTCGTGACTCTCTGCATATGCAATGTATTTTTCTTCATACCGTCTATTTGTTAATGTATGCACAATATTGCCCATATTCCAGTCTTCATCTTTCAGCTCCTTAATTATCTGCAGAAATAAAGAAAAGGTCATTGAAAAGTTATTGCTGTTTTAACTAAAAGCACATTACTACCTTTCTTCATTTTCTTGGCACAGAAATTTCCAATGGATTGCGAACTGTAATATTTTAGTTCTCCTCTTCCCAAGTTCTGAAGTGATGAGCTTTCTCTGATAATCCAAAGAGATTTTTTTCTTTTGAATTCCACTACATAAATATTATAACTAGAACACTTTGTTTCCCCCGTACTTCCATGTATAAGCACAGACAACAGGACTATCATCTACCATGTCAATTCTCTGATACAGTGTGCAGTGCGATTGGTTGGAGCTGCAAGAAAGCATTGCACCAAAAACTGAAGAAGTATGTGGGCACACACCTACCTACATGATACCGAAAGAAATAATGTATCCCCCACATACGGCAGCTTCCTGCTGTAGCTTAAGCCCTGGGCTGCGTGGTGGAGAACTGCAAGATCACACTATACTATTGCCGTGAAGCGCACAGTAACACGAGAAAGTGCTTGGTGCAGGGACTTGCATGTTCGCCTGATCTGTGAATTCCTGGTCAGTTCCAAACAACAGTTTTAATGCCAAAGCTTTTTAATACAGAACAAGCTTTACAATTTTTGCCATGCTAGCTCCTGATTTTTAGCAATTTAAATCATACCAATAGGAATCTTCTGCCTCATATGACACTATTTCCTCCCTCTTCTAAATCCAGCTCAATTTCAGTGTTAGCCCTTTCTTTTTCCTATAGTTCTTTAAAGGCCTCCATTGATCACTGCAATTTAATTACATATACATAAATATATAGACATGAAAATAAAAGTAATAAAAAGGCAGTAACACCAAAATGGCTAATATGATGCTGTAAAATTTAATGTTCTGATTGTTACTGGCCATGTACTCCCAAACAGTCGCTTTTTGCCTTTTTTTTTTTTTTTTTAACTCCATAAATTCTGCCTCTGAACACATTCAGGTCTGTATGCAGCATTATATTATGTGCTACATCTATCTTTAATCTGAACTAGTACTAGCCACTGTTATAACAAACATCTTATCTTACTTCTCCAAATCACTCAGAAATAGTTCACGGAACCCTGGAGATCCTTCAGGTTTAAAACTAATTTTAGGAAGTTGACTAGAAAACTTGCTATTAACAGGTACGCACTTAAAAGCTGGAGAGAAATAAGAGATAACACCTGATAGACTCTGTTTCCAAACTTTTCCCTTCCAACAGTTTCAGCTTTATTTCTGCCTCAAGAGATGGGGAACAAATTACATGCATCACATCTTTTTCTAACTCAAGGTCTTCTACTGTCGTCTTATTTGCAGTTTCCTCAGCTAGAAATTTCCTGCCTGCACTACCCTATGTTCTTGTACAATCAACACACTCCTAAATAACTGGAGTCTGCTGGGAAAGAGCCTAGACTCTTATGGCTGAATTTACACCCACCACCCCATCAGCATGCCAAGCATCCATCTGCTGGCCCATGTTAAGTACATGCTTAGGCTGGAAGATTTTTTTGTCCAGTTAAAGAATGGAACTTACTTCAGAATAGGTACATTTCCTCTCTGAAAGAATCAAATTAAAATAAGCAGACCGTATCAGAGATTGTTAAATTAAATTATCCATATTTTACCCCTGCAAAATTCTACAGTCTGTTTTTTTTCCTTGTAATTTTTTCTGTTGTTTTTCTTTTTTCCTTTGCATTTTGCCTACCTAGAAAATTGCTCTTCTTTGCCTGTCTTAAAGTGCAGTAAGGAAGTTGAAGGTATAAGGGAAAAAAAAAAATAAAAGCCATCACAACAAGGAGTTTCTTGTTCCTATAAAAATATGAGCCCTTGCTGCATTCAGGATCTAAATTATACACTCCAAAGTTTAATGATGCTATCCCTGATGGAAAAGCTGCCAAGTTTGTCTTTTGAATTAAAAGAGGCTTGAAAACTGTTTTTCAATTGGCCCTTCACTTCCTAGTTACAAAAGTGAAAGATGCTGAAGATAAGTTAATTTGCTTTTTCTTTTAAGCTACTCACTATATTTATTGAAGCATTAATGCTCATATAAAACATTTATTGTTTTCAGATCATTATGATAGCCTGAGGGATTTGGATGCAATCTTCCATCTAACTGAAAAACATTCCCTAAAACAGCAGTAGAAGCCTTAGCCTTTTCAGATCATTTAGTGTTTTATTCCTTTTCTTGTGATTCTCCATATTAAGGAAAAGGTGATTTAAATCCGTACCACAGTCAGCATTTATTAGTATATTATTGTTCCTGAAGAGCATTTACAAATTTTTATTACTCTTTTTGTAACCTCACTGTACTGATTGTTGGTGTTTGTATAATTCACTTGTGTTTACTGTGGTTAAACTTTCAGCCCTGTCTATGTTCAATGCCAATTCCTATGCCAAATTTCAGGACTGTTCATTGCATGTTTTGGGGGTGAGCTTTTTTTGTATTTATATGCATATAGTTAACTTACTATCTACTGTTCACATTCAATATAGACTGCACATTCTACAGCTGTTGCAAGCTACAGGTTATTTCAAACAAAATAAGTCTATGTGTATTGTACGAAGAAAACAAGTATCTGCTAGAATTCAAAGGATAGCCCCTGAACTTACTCATCTTCTGAAACCTACATGATATCTGACAGCTCTCATTTCAGCCACTAATAACAGTGCTCAAGCCTGTCAGAATTTATTTTAATAGGACATTAACAGAAGAGAGAGTAAAATTTGTCAGTAGGATTCAGCAGTGGCTTTGTATATGCGCAGACAGAGAAACATCCCACTTTGAAGAGCAGAATAAATTTTCAGAAAAGTTCTCACCTGTATCCACTTATCTGGAATAGCCATGGCTAGTCGATAATCAAAACCCCCTCCTCCCTCTGCAACAGGACGACAAAGTGCTGGCATTCCAGAAACATCCTTAAATCAAAAAACACAACATAATTTGCATGCATTCCAACAACTATTTCAGGTTTTCTACCATACAGTAATGTTTCTATACAAAAGTCTGTAAACTATAAACAGCTTCACAGATTGACCTGGGTAAAGGAGGGAAGCAAAAAAAAAAAAAAAAAACACAAACAAAAAAAAAAAAAAAAACAAATCCAGTGTAACTACTACATCCAGATTTGCTGTTTGAATGCAAAAGTTGCAGGGAAAAGCACTATAACTTTTCCCATCAAATACTCTACTACAAAATATTTTAATAGAGTAGATATTTGAGAGGGAAGAGACCTCAGAGATGCAGAATTTGAAATAATTAGCTCTCTTGAGCTCCAAGTAATCAATAGAAAGTAGTCAACAAACGACAAATTAAATCTTCATTTTGTTTATTGATATTTTGCATAAAGGATGGCATAAAAATAAACGGCTGAATATAAAGTATAGTAAGGAAGGAAAATACAATCTCTACTCTCTTTCTAAATGCACAAAACCAAAACTATTGATCCAGCTAGCCCTGGAAAGTGGCATGCTCTTACTGCATAATTTTCCAGTTTCATATTGATAGAGGCTGATCATTTTTAAATTTGTAATTCAGAGTTCTTAAAATATTTATTTGACCATTTTATTAGATCTCCAATAAGTGCAAAATACCTATCAGTATTCAATTTTATTAACTTATGTCGGTGAGAAGCCATTTCACCACAATGGTTATGGATTAACTTCTTGCATCTACACAAAAGCATTTATGTAATTAAATTCTGACTAGAACTGGGGCTTAATTAGGAAGCTCATTCTGGTTTTACTGAATTCAACCCAGTTGAAGGTTATACATACATATGCAAACATAGACACACACACAAAGCTCATGGATGGCATCCTGGGGGTGCAGGGCAGGGCTACCACCCAGAGGGACCCCGACTGTCTGGGAGGAATCAATCAACAGCAAGCTCAGCCACGGCAACTGCCAAGTCCTGGCCCTGGGAAGGACTAACCCCTACCTCCACGCAGGGTGCCCGGCTGGGGGGCAGCTCTGCTGGGGGGGCCCAGGGGCTCTGGGCCGGCAGCAAGCCGAGCGTGAGCCAGCCGCCTGCCCCGGCAGCGGAGGCGGCCAGCAGCACCCCGGGCTGTACGGGGGCCCGGGCCGTAGGTCAAGGAAAGGGATTATCCCCCTCTCCTCGGCAGTCATTAGATCACACAGAAAACCTCATCCACATTCCACATGCTGTAAATACCAAATAATGAAGTGGAAATTCTTTCCAAACTTTCAGGTATCAAGTTCAGTAGCTCTCCTAAATCAGGCAGAAAGGATAAAGACTGACTAATGCTCTCCAAGTTGTGCAGGACAAGATGATCTGAAACAAAGGCCTTTTCTCTGTGATGCTATGATGCCTACCTGGACAAGGTCTGAGCCTGAGAGTTAAGTAACTCTCACCTACTTTAGTCAGTTTTGAAAGCCAGATTTTTGGGATGTAGAATTCTCATTTTATTACCATTTATATCTATCTGTATCTACAGATTTTACCTGAACACTAAAAAAAAAAAAAACAAAAACAAACCAACCCAATACATTCAGTGTTAGTTTGTTCAGCATATTTCCCACCAAATGTAAACAACCAATGCCTAAGCATTTGTTCAGACAGTAGTTTGAAATGAGCTGCACACACATACACAAAAAAAGGAACCACAGCAGTAGGGGGGTTTTGCCTGTTGATTTTTATAATATGCCAGGCATGATGCAATTTTACTTAACAATTTTTATTCTCATTATACAAAACTTTAAGCACAGGCTTTATTTAGAAGGTCAAACCAAAAAATAAACATATAGTCAGTAATACCTAAAAACTTAGAAATTACTAAGACAGTGAATATACAGAATATTAAAAAGCTGTAAAAATTATCAGTTAAATAATTAAGGAATATATTATAATTAGTTATGTCTAGATAAAAACATTTTTCTCATGTGGCACTCATTCCATCATCATTATAGGCAAGCAGAAATTCTTCACTGCCTTTTGTATTTTCAATTATGTCAATAGTTTCTCCTTCTGAAATTCTCCTTTAACCATGCAGCAAATTGATCAATTCTATATTTCATGTAGGGACTCCCCCAGGCAGAAAAGCGATGTATTGAAAGGGAAGCAGTTTTCAATTCAAGCAAGAGAAAGTGAAGATACATCTTGTTCAAAAAGAATTCTTAAGCCATGTACTACAAGAAGACTGAACTCAGAATTACATTGGTAGGAGTGCTTATAATCTAAGGCTACCTAGAAAATGAACAAATTTCACTTCAAATAAGCCTACAGCTCAACAAAACCATCTCAAGTATACTCATAATTGCTCACCAGATGCTTGTTTTGATAGCTTGCCATTAAGCTTTTAGCAGTGGTTGAATATAATATAGAAATTTAACATAAGTAAGAAATGAGGTTAAGCATTATTTTGTTTTCTGAAGATAAATAGGGAACTCTTAAGCAATATAAGGAATTTCAGTAGAAATCTGTATAGTCCCTAATGATATCAGATAGACACAATTAAAAGATGTAAACATAATAGAATACTCAAAATACTCAAGGTTTACATGATTTTATCTTTTAGATAAAGAAATATTAGTGAAAATGTACTTATTCATGGAACTTTAATGCTCTGGTGTTGAGCACTATTAAGAATTCCATGTGCTGACAATAATGGTTTTCAGTCAAAAAAAGTTTAATTGATCTCCATCAGCTCAAGAAAAATAGTCTATTTACTCCTTCAGAAACATGGAGAAACTTAACACACCATTTAAATTAGCATACACATTCAACATTTATAAATTTATCAATTTATTTTGAAGGGTAATTGTTGATTATGCCAATATAATTCAAAATATGCAAAATCACACTAGGGCTGTTAATCCTTAGCACCATGAATCACTACTGAGACATGGCAATCATGCAAAAACAATAAACTAATAAAACCAAATCTCATTAGAAATTCAAGGAGATGAAGGAAAAAAAAAAAAAAGAAATCCAAACATTAATTAATGACCCATTAATGCAGGAAAAATTCCCAAAGTGCACATTCCAGTTGTTTTTCCCCACAAGGCAAAGTCTATCCACTAATTAATGTTTCTCAGCTCCTGTCATTCCTTGAGCACCTGAAGTGTGACTTGATAATTAACAGGAAATTCACATCCCAAAGCAAACTAATCAATATTAATGCCATCGAGGATGGTAAATTCTGATCTTACCTCTGCTATGGTTATGCATTCCGGATGCAAGAAATTAATCATGTGGTTGGCCAGCATTAGATAACACAAAGCATCTTCATCCACATGTAGGCCAAAATATTCATGGTAATCTCCACTGAATCCTGTGCCTAGTGAGACAGGAAGTTTTAAAAGCCCCAGCTGTCTTTTAAAAAAAGCACAGAGATTTTGCAATATGCCATTTTATAAGCACTAAATTTATTCATAATTTCAGAACTATTCATATAGCAGCACAAGAATATACTAGCAAATCTGGAATTAGAGCATTCAGTAAACTTTTACAGCACTATTTTTATAGCAACAGAGCTGCAACAGGACTGCACAGATTACAGCTGGTTAAATTACTTACCAATCCCATGATGGTGATACAACATGGATGTAACACCATCAAATCGGAAGCCATCAAAGCGATAGTCTTCGATCCACATTCTCAAATTAGACAGAAGGAATCGCAAAACTTCCCAGCTGAAATAACATTAATATAATTTATAAATTTTGCAAGCCTTGGGATTAACTGGAGTTCCTTATACCACATTCCCCACTTATGTACAATACTTGTACCAGACATTTTACTGTTTTAATGTCTTCTTCCCCTTTTTTCATTAGCTTTTTCCTAGCAAGTTTGTCTTCCTTAAATCTTTGTCATTTATTGCACATAATTTTAAAATTGCAGATAGGGTTTTAGAAAAAATTGTCAACTATCTATATAGACATCTAAATAGGTTAGTGTTTGAACACATATATTGCATTTTAATACCCATACTTGCCACTGTACTCTTCCTTTGCCTCTCTAAAGATGTTTATACTCTGTGGGAAAAGATCTTACAAAAATGGAAAGAAAATTATAATAGGTAAGATTTTGTCCCCAAGATTTTATGGATTTACAGCAATTTCTAAGCATAAGAAAAGTTGCAAAACTGTCATCCCCTGACACACATAAAACACATCCCCATCCCCCATTATTTACAAATCACATGTCACCAGTAGATTACCAAATCACCTACTTTGTTGCAAATTTACACATTTAAAGAGTAAAGCAATTTATGGAAGTTGAGATTTTTTTGACATGCAGAACAATGGGAATGGGGTATAACACACACACAAACAAAGCACAGACATGAAATCAAAAATAAAAAAGAGGTTCCAAAGCGAGTAAGCATGTGGAGGCATTTGCAAACAAAATTTGTATTGAAGAACAAAATAGTCTCAGGAACAGTCTTCTTTCTATTCATCATCTCCTCTCCCACGACACTAGTCTCAGTAGCTTTGAAGACCCCCATACCTTGTTTCTATTCTTCACCTTCCATGCCACTACCCTCTCTGACACCCTCGGCACAGGCTGCCTCAGGTGCATCTCCTGCAAGCTATGGCTCCAGACAGCTCACCCATCTCCATCAAGACAACCACGAGGTGGTGAAATTTCTTTCATCCATGTCTTCAACACTTGTCAATGTTACAATTTCTCTGTAATCAATTTCCCAAGATAGCACAACTACAGCCTCACTTACTACCAAGTTTCTGTTCAGAGAAGAGTGTAAGCTACACAGCAGCATGCAGGGTCTCACCCAACACCCGCCAGTGGGCAAGACAGAAGGGGTACACATAGCACAAAGCACATCAGTCAGCGTCACTGTTACAACTTACCTATGCACGTAGTTGGCATAAGGCAATGAAGGAGACCCTTTCTACATTTCACTTTATTTAACAGATGTCAGAGGCAGTATACTCATAAGGATATTGTGACACAAAAAATAATCTCCACTTTGACAAAACAAATGTCCCTGCCTTCCTTCCCCCAAACATCTTCCTCATATGAAGGGTGCTTTACATCTGGAGCTAGTGGTATTACATGAAATGATGGGGAGGCTGTGGGCACAGTATAAAGCTGGTGAAATCCTGATCACACCAAATAGCCAATTCTTATTTACTTTAATAGAATTATAATATTTCTTCTTCTCTTTGCATGTACTGCACACAGATATACACCTGTGCAGCAATATCACCAAAACAAAACCTCCAGATTTAGGAAACACGAATCAGTGTGCTGCCTCAGTTCAATACCTTTGCTGGGAATGCATTACAAGACAAGATTTTTTGTTCCATCCCCATGTTCCCCCGCCTCACCCCAATTCACCTAATTCACAAGATAATACTATACTAGGAAGAACTCTGGAGCTTGTCTACAGTACCTTTTATGTACTTTTATGTATTTGTTATTTCTCAGGTGAGATGATTTGCAATGAATGAACAAGAGATAGAATGTTCTGATATTGAAAGGAATAGAAAGGTATCAAAACTCCTGTGAACAGGCAAGATGGTCACATAAAAATACAGCTTTGTGCAAATGCTTGTTGTATCTTTTTCTGACCCAACATCAAATTTGCAGAAAGCTATTTAGTGCAAGCTAAACACTCTGAACAAAGTCAAAGCTGTAGCTGTATTGCAATAAAAATATACTCTCACACAGAATTAGGATAATGCATGTACAAGGAGTAGATTAATTGCTACAAGCGCCAGCCAGACTTAAAACTTATTTCTCCTCATTACAGACTGCTTGACTTTATAACCTTAAAGTTCTTAAAATAGTGAAGAGGATTTGTACATTTGTAAAAACATACATAAAAGTCCCAAACCGGATGACAAATATAATTTTTTCTACCATTGTTGGCACTGAAGAATGATATTTGGAAAAAGATGGAGAACCAGTAAGAAAATAAATTATAATGACTTTTACATGAAAAAATGACTACAAACAAACAAGATGAATTTGTTGAACCAAAAGATTAGTTAGCAAATTTATGAGATCAAAAACCTGAGTAGAAGCAGCAGATGTTTTCCAACCATCTGATTGCACATGGGAGAGAAGAATGTAAATAAATAAATAAACAAACAAACATGTCAACTGATTCTAGTCTAAACCCGGAAAAATTCAGTTTTAGGATAATTTCAAGGAAGAATGTCAAATACTAGCAACCATGGTGACTTTTAGAGAGATAACTATACAGCTCCAAAACATAAGCCAGAACAACAGGTTTTTTGAAACATGCAAATCACACAAACCATACAGAGGTTCATGTTTTCATCCAAGTCAATTTGTTTATGGGAGCAGCAGCATTAGAAATAGAAGTTGACAGAAGTAACAAATAACTTTGCAGAATGTTAGCAGAGGCCAAAATCATAGCATAATTGGAATACATCCACCATAGAAGCAATAATTCAGAAATATTTATAAAAGAAGTACATTCTTGTAATTTTGCATGCAGATATGGAAACAGGATAGCATTCATTAAGAATGTAATTTCTTTTGGGCAAAAGCTATATCTTAAATTATATTCCAACAGTCTCTCACTTTTTTGCATACTATAAAATTGAGAAAGTTCTTTCATTGCATGCATGATCTAAGAGAGGAAAATATATGCTGTATTATCATTAAGCAACAGAATGATTTACACTGTAAGAAATTTAAATAATTCAAAGTTCACTCAGACATCATTCAAAACACAGTGGGTCTTTCCAGAGAAGTCTTGCTGTTTTTTTTCTCCCCCTTGGGGCCAATAGCTCACACATTAAAAACAGATTTCTCAGTTGAAGTAGTGAAATGAGCATATTTAGCTAGATGACCTGGTTTCACAAGGTGATGAGAAATTTAACAACTTTCCTATACTAGGTCAGCAGAAAACCTGTGAAATTGCTTACAAGTCACACTCATCATTTACTTTTCTTCCTCCTGTAGTAATAAGAAAAGCAAAATAATGATTCACCATAATAATTCTAAATTCCAATCCATGATGAACATGAAATATTTAGATGCAAGCTATTCATGCATTCAAACCAGTTAATTTTGTCACTCTGGACAAAAAAAAAATGCATTGGCTGTACCTAAACCAGTTTGAAGCTGCCATTCTTGAACCACATTGATGCCGACAGTAAGGAACCGCATTTATTCGTAAGTATTATAGAAAATGTATGGAACTGCTGACATTATAAGAATCTAGACTTTTATGATGATTTACCTGTTTTCAGTTCTTAGTGTTTAATAAACACATAGTAGCAAAGAATTGCTAAATTATTATTTTTCCCCAAACGTTTCAACAGTTGACTGACTTAAATTCCACCAATGGACTGCTAAACATAATAGAGAAATTGGCACTCAGTCTGATAATGATAACTTCCAGTGAACCTGATCAAGTTATATATGCTTAGTTCATAAAATAGTACATCCAGATTTGATAGAGATGTTATTTCCACACAGCCCCTCCTCCTCACCCCCCATTAACCAGCATACATTGGTTTGCCTGTTATTTAGAGGCACTTTGCTTGATAAGAGTGGTACAAAAGGGTAACCACTCATACAACATTTGGTACCATACGATCCCAAGCCATCTCTAGCCATAAAGGACTGAGAAATCGAAGCACTGCAGCACATGCCCACTTTTTAGCCAAGGCACAATCCTGACTCATGCTGCTAGACCGCTTTCAATACCTGCACTCCTAATTATACTGACCACCCTTCTACGGGAACATACACGTCTCTTCTCTCATTCAACAGAACATTGTAACAGTCGTTAACAGATCAAAAGAGCTTTTGCTTGGTGATTCAAGCTGCATTATGCCTCTGAAATGAACTGAGCAGACAACAAACAGAAGAGAGAGCTATCCTCCTGGGGCACAGAATAATCTGTGAGCAGCAGGGGTCAGCAGCAGCATGTCACTTCTCCTGCATCACTCCCAAGAAGAGGCAGAGAAGCAGTGAATTAACTTTTTTCCCCGCGGTAACAACCGCAGCAGCACTGATGTGGAGTGCTACTTTTTCTAAACTTCTGAAAGTGCACTGCATGACTGCATCCTGTACAGCCAGAAAAGAAACAAGCCCTTCTACATCAGCAATATTAAGTTTACTTACATTTCAAAGTTAATATTCAGACACCAGAAAAAGCTTATTCTGAAAACAAGTAACACTAAGTAATAGCAGTGGCACAGATATCAGTAGGTGAGAGGTTCCAGGAGACTAAAGCTTTCCATTTAACATGCACTGGATTTTTAACAATATTTTAAAATAAGCAGAAGACAACTGACAAAAATCCTGAAGACAGAGTTCTCTTTACACTCCAACTTCCAGTTGTAGCAGAATTTAGATGGTAAAAGTTTTCAGAATGGCTGCAACATTCCTGCAGTATTCTTAAAGTATTCTTCACAATGCCACAGTATTTTAGATATTATTAAAATAAATTCATATGATGAAATTGATTTTTTAACATCCCCACCATAAGCAACCAACCCAAAAGACAATGTGTGGTCATGATCCCTTTGGTCAAGCAGTCCAAGCCACGGCACCATGAAGGTGATCTAGGGGCCAAGAGAGAACTTGCAGGTTAGATTTAGATGCCTAAGTTGTAAGGTCTCTACCTCTTGTCCATCACGATCCTGTACATGGATGAGGCTTGAAATGAACACTTTTGATAGCAGTAGAGCTTTACTCAAACAAAGCTTGGAAAGATGTTACCCATACTGCATGGATTATAACTGCACTTTCTTGGGCAAGCTAATGGGGATAGTTCCCAATTCTCTAAGTTTCCCACTGCTATTGGCTCAAGAGTTCCTTAACAGGGAGCTTGGATCATTAAAGAAGATTTATCTGTATCTCAGCCATATCAATGATAAAGAGAGCCATTTTTTTACCCGGAAGCCTCTGAATTTAAAATAAATATTAGCTTTAGATCTAGCTCCCAGAGCTTTTTTCTCAAATTCATCAAATATCTTAATTACTACCCCACTGCCTTCTCCTTCCCCACTTACTGCTTACAATCAATTGCTTATCACTTTACCTCTGTTCTCTGGGTTGTGAGGTTTTGTTTGTTTTAAAGAGAAATGGATCCATACCATGACCTTTCTGTTTCACTCGATTAGATTCTGTTTGCTTTGCTACCTGTATAGAATTCATAACACTGAAAGAAGACAATTTATACACTGAGATACAGCAAAGATGTTGACAGTGCCAAACAAAAGACTTGTAACCTTTGATCTCTGGTCTGCAAAGCAGCTTTATCTTTTAAATGACATTTCAAATAAGGAAAGCATTAAATAGCACAAGTAACAGTGCATTAAAGATCTCTGAGTTTTATCTTTCCTTAAGGTCCAGCATGACAGCAAAAACACTTTTAAGAGTTTCTGTCCCCAATTATATAGCTTAGTGTAAAAACTTCATGACCAACTCTTCTTACAGCTAACAAAGTCCACTTAGGAAATCCTGATTGATATTGCAAGCTCTTGGGACGCAACCATGGAACAAAGAGGACTCACTACTGAAGAAGAATGCCCACAGGTCACTCACTGCAAGTGGATGAAAGGTTCTGACAAACCATAATTGCTGTGCAATAAAAACTTTAAAATTATTTGCCTGCTCAGGTTCATGCATCAGTAAACAGGTCTGTGACATCAGTAAGGAAGACAGATCTACATTAAGGACATATGAAAGAATTTGAACTACAAGAAAATAAATTAATAAAGAAGAATGCCACACATCTGAAATCAGAAAAGACAAGCAAAGCTGAGTGCTAAAAGGCAGGCATTTGAAAGCATATCAAACCTTAACCTCAGGAGGTACAGGGACAACATTCCTCTGAAGCAGCACTAGATTACCAGACTTGCCAAACATTAACCCATTGATGTCTGTCCCAGATAATCACCCCTATACTAAATCTCAAAGAAGAGCAGAGGTCTGCACCAGAACACAGCCAAGTGTTCTAAACTGGTCTGAAGTGCAGAGTCTACCCTGAGGCCAGAAGTGCTTATAAAAGTCTGAAACACATCAGTAATTAGGATGGGGTCTCAGTATGACCCTGTGATTGTGAAAAACTTTTATACTAAAGTTTCCTGTATTCACAGCCAATAGTGTGGCCCTCGGGAATGTTTTGCTACCCAAAGAGACAAAGAAAAAAGCTAGTAAGTCCTCATGGACTTAAAGCAAAGACCTACAGGAAGACACGTTATTCCTAATTTATCTTGTCAACCTGAGGTGACAAAATGTCACACAAAGAGGATAACAGTCCCTCTCAGTCTACTTCTAGTCAGGTATTGCAGTATCAGTCCCAACATTAAGTCTACCAGATGTGCAAAGAGAAGTGGTGGCAGCAAAACCCAGCACCTGTTCAGATCAATGTCTCTGAAATCTTCAGATATGTACTGATTGGCATCACTAAACCAGACAGCAATTTCCACTGGGAAGTACAGATCCCTCTGCACAGTAACACAAAATGTCAGGGCTTTTTGTTTTGTTTTTGTTTTTAACAAAAAGGGTGTTAAAAGCTAGTAATGGTCACTGATACCAGTTTTCTCAGTAGGAGCTGAACTTCTGACGAACTGCTTAAGCACCTTTCCCATCTAGAGCAGCTGCCATTATGCACTTGATTCCCAGAAGAGTGAAGTTTCCAAATGGCTTGAGATTAGGATAAACTATCTCACGGTTTTCTAAGAAACAGGAAAATGGACAGGAGACAGTAGACTCAAACATTACCAGATGTGGGTTAGCCAGTCCTGATTTTAAGGAAGTCAGAATTCTATCTTTCCATATTCCTGCACAGTAGGTCATCTTGAACACAACAGTTTTCAGGCATGTACTTCTTAGAACTACTAAATGTCTCTCACTCATAGAAAGAATCATATCAAATTAAGATGAAAGATCGATGGTTGTAGAAATGAAAGACCTTTCCCCACAGCCACTTGGTCTCAGCTGTTTTGAGCATTTTTATGGAAGGCCAGAGATGTTTCAAAAGGGCTGACAGGAAAAAAAAAAAATGCCTTCTATGTTTTCACAGGACATCATTCCATTAAGTTGGACTGTATAA